GGAACTAACCTGAGCAGCTTTCGGATGGATGTTCGGACAAACATAAACAACAATCTTCCCGAACAACCCTTCCTCTACTTTGACACGAAGTTCAATTCTCGAAGTCTTTGCTTGGCAACGGTAAGAAGCTAATAAAGGCCAGGGATTCTGGAAGTAAATTTTGACATTTTATTTTGAACTCTCCAATCTTACATGTTCCGACTGTGGTAGCATACATACGACGGAAGCATTCTTCTCAACTTCTATTAGCTTGACCATTAAAGAGCTCTAAATATGGTAACGTGACAATGAGGAACCGATAACATAACAAAAGCATTGCATTTGCATACCTGGACAATTATGTAGTCGATAGGCAGTACAAGTTCAATAACCATTGAATAGGCCCCAAAGGTAGCATTGAACTCAAATGAATCATGCACCTAAATATTTTTTGAGAAATGAAAAAGGAATGCTTTCTACTCCTATTGCCCTCACCTGAAATGCTGGGAAGTATGCGCTAGTGCCATCCTTTTGCGTGATTTCCGAGTACTTGGCTCTTTCTTCCATTACTTTCATCTCCAAATCATGAACTTCCGAGCTTCAAAGGTTATTCTTATATGACATGTTAGGATGACATCAATAGCTCACCGTAATTGATCTACTTTGACTTTCACATTCATAGTCGATGACGAAGGTGTCTTCTCCTGCGTAAGCTGAGTTGTGCTGAGCGAGAAAAGCCATCCTAAGAAATGAATCATCAAACTAATTGTCGTTGTCGTCGTGTATTCTGATTTCATGTAATCGGAAATGATATCAGACTTCTGTCAACAAAAAAAGCCTCATGGTTTCCGTCTGAAATTATTTCTCCTCTCTCTCCCCTTCTGCCTCTCTCAGACTTAAATATTCAAGAAAATCTCAGGAAAGATAATAAATAGAAATTGTATCACCAATAATATAGTGATTGAGGAAGTTATGAAAAAAAATTGAAATTGTAACTATAGGGTTAGGAGGCATCTGAAGATGTGCCCGATAGACTCTTACCTGTATAGGTGCAAATGATTATTTCATCTTTGCCCTCATCACTGATACGTCCACACATCAAACCCGTTATGGTCTCATCCGAGCTCTGAAGAAAAAAAAAGGAAATATACATGTTTATTTAAGGTTTTTTTTCAGTTAATGCTCCCCTCCTCCCAATTTCTTTGTTACTTACATAAACACTAGCGAGGGTGGCTGAATCTTCCTCGTCAATTGTATAAACTTCTACGACTCCATCATCTTTTCCAATAATTAGATCTCGACGTTCGGACGATATGAATGGATAGAATGTTACAGTTGTTATTGCTTCAATCGTGTAGTTAAGCTACAAATTCAATTGTTCAATTTGCTACCTGATGCTGTTGTCGTCGTTAATTGCCAAACAATGCTTCCTCCTCCTGATGGCAAGTCAACTAATCCGATGTTTCCACCGCGAGTTCCGTAAAATACCTTTTGACTTGAAAATCCTATAAACATGAACGAATGTAATAAGAAAGATGATCCTTTACTCTTAACCTCCATCTTCCATAAACAGATGAACAATAGTGGGAACATCGGATAGCTGCAACTCGTAAACGAGCTGAGAACCTTCCAATACCTTAATTTGCTTGTTTAGAGCGCTAGGATGCGAAAATATAGCTCCACCTTCAATGTTGAATCTCTACAGGCTAATACGGAAGTGAATGGGCGATCAGCCCATGCACCACCTGATTTATCGATCAAGCAGACAACATCGTTTATTTCTTCCGATGACAAATAATACTAAAATAGAAGAATATTATTAAATTATTAAAGATGTTTCACAGTTATGGGAATTGCAACCGCTCAAACAGCTTTTAAAAATAAAAATGAGTTCAGACACAGCATAGCTGTTGGCCACGTCAAATCTCACGTCACGTAATGAGTTTTATGAATATTGGTTTGGAATGAGATTTATTATGCAAATGAGATAGAAGAGTTGTGATAGAGCCAACAGCGGGAGAAAGGACTTACGTTAGTATCTGAACAGTCATGATAATGGTTGAAGCTCTTTGTTCCTGTCAACACTAAGTCAACTCCATAAATAAACCTAAATATCTCTTTTGTTATTTTCACTTTAAAGTCAGCAAGTCCTTACATGCTTTTTATGGGTTCAGCCATATTCGTGTCAAACGAAAAAAATTGTTTTCCTTTCTTGCCCAATCCACGTACGTTCGTATCAGAAGACACAAAAACTTTATTTGCTAGTGTGCCTATCGAGCCACCCAAACGTAGACCTGTGATTGCTGGTCCTGGCAATGTTTTGTAAATTATCTTAAATTATTATTATTTAATTATAAACTACAAATTGTGTTTCGTCTTTCTGACAACCATCGCTCCCTTACCTGAGTATCGTTTTGTCGTCGAACAACGCATATCACACATCCATTCTGACTTCCAACAACAATCTGTTTATTGTAAATATGCTAATTATATTAATTATAACTTAGATACTCACTCGATCAGTTGTTTTACCTCTCTGATTCAATGGAACTGATGGCACAACACACATGCATGATCGATTCGTGGTCCCTATTTGGGCAAAATCCGTTCGAAACAATTCAACCAAGTTTGGCATTTAGGTTGTAAGACAAACTATTTATAAGTTTTCACGTTTATTGGTTCTTGAAACTTGTCAAAAACGAATTAAAAGTAGGAGAAGAGTGAACAAATTAATAATTCGTCTCCGGTACTGAGGCCAATACTGCGTGTCAGCGACCGGTTGCCATGGAAACTTTGCGGACCTGCTAGATGACATGCTTGACCATTCATATCTGTTTTGAACTGAGCCACACTGGTCTACATATAATCATTCCAATGAGTACAACAGTTTGTTGCACTTCAACATTCAAAAACGGAAGATTCACTCATGATCTCGATGACAGCAGGCTCATATCTGAATTGCTTGTCGTCAAGTTTGACGTCGTCTCATGGGACATCAGAAAGACATTTGTAGATAAAAGTTCTCTCTAAACGTCTTCAGATCTATCAGTCTCTACATTCTTTTCACGAGTAAACTAGAAGTGTATCGGAAAAGGAGAATCCAACGAGTAGGAGGAGAAGAAAAGGATAGGATGATGAAGAGAAAGCTGAAGCATAGCGGTGCTTTAAACTCATATTGTCCTACGTACATATTTATTTGTTCAAAATAGGAAAGAGAAGAAGCATCCGCATTCCTCCACCTCCTACTTGTTCTGTCCCATGGACATATCATCTGAAAGAGCGTCATGTTGCTGTTCTTGTCAAATTTTGAAGAGAAGAGACATTTGAGAAGAAAAAAATGAGATACTTGTCTATTTGTATGTAAGTTCAAACAATGATGCTCTTCCTTCCTCTTTATATTCTTCGTCTCATGGATTTCTTGTCGCCGAACAAAAAATGAAAACAGCTTATGTTCAGCGCGAAGTTAAAGAAGTAATAGGCAAAAGGGCCAGAGGACTATTAGTTTTCTGATTTATGGAAACTTTCGAGATTCGTTCCTCGCACGAGAGTTCCATAGATCGTCCTCTTCCTCTCTCTATCTCTCCTTTACTTCGTATCGTTTACCTTATTGCAATCGTTTTGATTATGTGTATGAAGACGTTCCGAAGCATTAGCTCTTCCTCATTCTATTCTCATCTTCACCGTTACTCTTGCTCAGCTCTTTTAGTCATTTCATCTGAAAATCTCATAACATCTGTACATGCCATTCAGAGTCTCTAGTCCAAGTAATACATTTTCATTTTTTATTCCATAATTTCAGCTTTTGCTTACGTAGTGCTCTGAATCAAAAAATTGTCGTGTATGACATCTAATATAGGGAGAGCGCGTACGTTGAAGTCGGAATAAAAATAAAGAGAGAAAGAAAGAGTGTGTGTGAGAGAGAAAGGTGGATTTTAGAAAGAAGGGTGAAAAGAGTAATAGAAAGAGAGAGAAAGAGGGTTAGTAGAAGGAGGGAGGGAGGGAAGGCTGGAATGATTCAAAAACTCACAGTCAGACTCTTTTTTTTGAGTCTTTTCTAAGGCACCGTCGTTTCTGTTCCATTTCATCCTCTCCTTCTATAGATGTTTTGACTCAAGAATCTTGTCTCGTAATTTTCTATTTTGGAAATTATTTTTTGAAAAGAAGAAAAAAAAACAAAAAAAAAAGAAAAGAAGACCAAGACGTCCGGAAAAGAAGCTGACGGAACATTCCCTCTCCCTATAATTTCCATAACAGAATCATATCATCTTCATAACTTTCCCACCACCCACCCTCTCTCTATTCTTGCAACAGAAATAGCAATTTTTAAAAGAAAACTTCATTTTCACATTTCTTTTTCTTTTTACGTCATCGTCAACCTCTTTGCGATAACTCTTTCCATTTTCATCATGAGTCTCCAACAACGCGTCTATCGTCTCACTATCCATACTCCTTCAATGTATCCAATGCCATTTATCATTTTTCATTTTTTTTATCTTCGACGTGTTGAGCGGTTGTGTTTTTGGAGTTTTCTCCGAACCGCTCAGCTTGAAAATCAGCCGAACATATAGAGAGAGAGAAAAAAAAAGAAAAGAAGGGAGATAGAGAGAGAAAAGTAAAAAAAAAAGGGAAAAACGAAGGTGGAACTCAAACGACATTCATAGGTGAAAGCGATTGATGCATAAGAGAGAGAGTGCTATGAATGTGGAGAGAGCAGACGCATCTGAAATGCTCATAGAGAGTTTATGAATTGAAAGGAAGTTGAATAAGAAGTTAAATTGAAAAAAGCTTACCAATTATAATTGATGAAACTAATTATAAGATGTCTGTTATTCACCAATTTTTGTGTGACAAAGATCTCTTTCTAAATAAGCTCATGAAGAAGCTAATGAGGTAAATGAGCGTCTTTTTCAAACTTTTTCAAGGTTTTTACAACATTCCACAAACTCTTTCACTTCAAAACGAGATTTCAGTGTCTGAAACTCTGAAAATACAAAAAAAGAAAAAAAAGAAAGTTAATTCCCAGTTGAGAGAGAATGATGGTTAGGAAGAAGAGGAAGAAGAAGACGACGAAGGAGAAAAGACAAAAACGCCTTAAATGGAAAAAAAAGAAGAAGAAGAGAGAGAGAGAGAGGGAGGGAGATGGAGGGAGGGAGTTGTACTCCAATATACTCACTCTCTGTTTAACTCTCTCTCTTTATCTATCTTTATGTGTCTCTCCCTCTATCTTCATACTCTCTCCCTCATACTTTCTCTCTCTCTCTCTCCTTGTTCCTGAGACACGAAGATGTGGAAAGTCTTAAAGTACTGCTTAAACAAATGATTTTGACTTGTTTTGTTCTTTAAAAACTTAAGTTTTTCATATATTTTGCTTTTTTCATGCTCCTGCAGCTGCCATTTACCCAATTGTGTTTGACAATTTGCTTTTTTGCCTTCTTCAGACATCCTTTTTTCCTTGTTTGACCCCCTCCCCCTGTTAATTCTTATTAATTTTTGGTAAAAAATCATTTTCTCTCACATGAATTGGTGTAGAGAGAGAGAGAGAGAGATAGAGAGAGATGGAGGTAGGAAGGGTATCTTCTTTGAAACACAGAAAGAGAGAGAAGGTTACGAAGAGAGAGAGAGAGAGAAAGGTTTTTTCGGAAGATAAATAGAGGGATAGAAGCTTTCTTCTCATAACATAGAGGGAAAGTTTCTTTTCGGATCATAGAGAGATAGTTTCATCCTGAAGCACATGAAAAGAGAGAGAGAGAGAGGTTACATCAATGAGCTAGTGAGAAGAATGAGAAAGAGAAAGAGAGAGAGAGGGCATTGAACCATTTGAAATTCTTTTGAATGTGTCTTCGAAGAAAATTCCCATCAATTTGATAATTCATTGCTTCATTGTACTCATAGAACTCGAAAAAAAGCTTGCCGCTTGTATGGATGAAAATGATTTTGGCAATCTACGTATATGACGGAAAAAGGAAGTTCAATCTGTCTTATTTCTTCTCTCATAAAGCTTGTTGGTCTTTTCTCAGCTTTATACTTGTTATATGCTTTTACTTGTATTGCTCACGCATGAATCAACTCTTTTCTTTTGTGGTCAAACATCTATCTGCATCATTATTACGTTTTTACGTCTAATTTACATGTCATTCATGCCTCCTAATTTACACGTAAACGCATTTCACGTAAGCATTCACGTGAACGCATACATCTCCACGTGAGCTTCATTCGTTCTGTTTTTGTTCTTCCATTTTGCAGTCTATCAGCACGCTTAACCGGTTGCTTTCAGAATCTTCAAGAACTATGTGACTGATGTCGTCAGCGACTACACGCCTATTAGGTATGTTCAATTCTGTTATTTACAGCAAATTCTACAGAATCAAGAGGTGAACAGCTTCAAGTAGTCTTCTGATCTAACAGAGATGAAGCTTACTATTAGCATAAGCTTTTTGAAAGTTCATTAAGAAACTTATGTTCTTAATTGATTTTCTCATAAAAAGCATTCAGCTCTCATTCAACTTTCTCAAAATAATTTTTTTTTCTCTCTCTCCCATTTTGACCTTTACTGGCCGTACCTCTCTCTCTCTATATGTATATGTTTCTCTCTCTTTGAGCTGTCAGCAAGTTTCATACTACGAGTATGACGATTAGCTTAACTGGCAATGAGCTGATTCCTAATAAGGTGAGGAAGGCTTAAGCTCACGTCATGTTCTCTATCTGACCATTTTTTGAGCTTAACCCCTCTCACCCTTTAGACTGGTTGGAACATTTGTTTAAGATGACCAAATCTCAGTATAATCAATATTTTTTGATAAGAAATGCTTTTCTTCGTCTGACAAGTTTGAAGCTTTGAAAGTTGCATTGAAGAAAGAAGGAGCGACTGTCAATTGAATGCCTTAGGCAGCCAGTAAGAATCTGAATGCAAATAGGCTAACAACACTTACATTTTTTCAATTCAAACTATTTTTCATCGTTTGGAACATTTGGAAGCTGAGTTTCATTTAATTGGCTTTCCAACACATTTATCGGAATGTCTTTCATCGTCAATAACACACCGGACAATGACACACAAACCTTCATCTGCATATTTGTCTTCTTCTCTCATTTTCATTTCTCATTATCTCATTTTGCTTTTTATTCATCTACTGATTTCCTTGTTAGGTATATAGCTAGCTTAGATGCTGAAGAGAGATTCTTCCAACTGATGTATACTCTACCTACTTCTCCTCCTCCTGCACCCCATGCCAGCAATATAGCCAAACCTTAACGAATTAAAAAGAGGCGAAAAGAGAAAAGGAGAGAAAACGAAAAAGGAAAGAGCACACCCACAACTCATGAGATGTGATGTTGAAGTCTTCTCTCTGAAGCTACATCTGAATAGCTTCATGCTTTTGCCTTTCTCACATGCCAAGCCTTCTTTCATCATCCATCTCTCTCAGTCAATTAACACTCTCCGCTCCTCCTGCCTCATCAGCTGAACTACGAAAATATCTTTTGCCCCGAGGCATCCGATTCTTCTCAGCTGCCATATCTACACAGCATTTCCTTTTTTTTTTATATTCTGAGTTGTCATTTACTTTTTAGCGCAGCATAGAATTCGAAAGCCCAAAAAAGGCGTTTTCATATAGTTCTCACGTGTTTTGCATAATTATAATCATTTCCATATACTTGGACTTCCTTTTCGTCTTTCTTTCTGTTTCATCTCCTTCTCCGTCTCCTTCTTCTTTGCTCTTATGGAAGGAGCTTCTCCCACGAAAATCTAACAGCTTCAACATTGTGCATAAGAAATCCAGTGTATTCGTCAACTATTAAAGATTCTGTTCTTCATGGGCCAAGACAGAAAGTAGACCGAAGACATCGAGAGGCTTGTAGACGACGGATTTCCTTTCTGGCATATCTCCAAATTGGGTTAGGAGTTGGGTGGTACTCTCATTTCATGTTTGCCTCTCCAGTTCGCATTATATTTTGCATATCTCTCTCACTCTTTAGCAGATTCTCACTTTCACTTTATTTATCTCTGATTTATGTCTCTCTCTCTCTCTCTCTGCAATTCCCCTCCCCCATTCTCTCTCTCTCTCTCTCTGTCTTTGTGTATTTTTGTGGAAATCCTCTCTTTCCATTTGTTTTTGAATCTGATGGTTTTTTTAAGCTTTTTATTTCTTCTCTCCCACTCTTCCTCCTCCCGCTCCCGTCCTCCCTTCATCTTCCCCTCCTATCTCTTTCTTTTCTTCCTTTCACAAAGGAAATGAGAAGAAAAAAGTTTGTCAAGTTGTTCTTTCATCATTTTTTTGGATATAAAACAACATGCAAAGTTCAGATGTAAGCTTTCGTAGCTTCTGATGACCAATGGCATCCATATTCGACTGACGATTGATGACCTCGTCATTTTTGCCCACAATTTCATCACGTCATACTTCATAATTGTCTGTTTCTTATGGAAATACACTTTTTTTGGCTTCAGCATCATCCTTTCCTCTTTAAGCTTCTCCTAAGAGATCGTTCGTTACGAATTCCATACTCGCTTCGTTGATTTTCACAAATCGTGACGAAGTTCTGAACATTCAACCACCTACAGCTTCAATTCCATACCAAAAGCTCTCTGCACTTTCGTCATGAATAAGCTGCAGATTTGAGCATCTTCAGACATCCATCCCCCCCCCCTCCCTTCCTATCGTTAGTAAACTAGAAGAAAGCTTTTAAATACTCAATTAGTCAATTGCTTCAGTTACTCTGAACGTCCTGTGCCATCTGAAGACGAACAAAAAAAAATAACTGACGTCTTCTTCATTATTCTCATCTCGTGGCTGTGCATTCCATGCTCTCGCTCAGGAGCTTCCATCCTTCTCTCACTTTCATTCTCATTCATTGCGAGGAAAAAAAAAACTTTATTGTTTTTCCACTAAAACTTCTTAGACTCTCATTCTAAGCTAAGTTTCGCTCTCTCTCTTCATTCCATCTCTTCGTTTCCTTTCTGATTCATGACGGTTATGAATTTTGTTTTTGAACGTCGTCTAAGCGAATTCTGATGAAGAATCATCAACAACATCAAAATGAAATTGAGCACTAACTCAGCAGGAGATATATTGTGAATGTTTGACACACTCACACTCACACACATCCATGCCCGCACTCACATACACACTCACATACACACATACACACACAGACCCACACACACACACACACTCACAACCACAAATGAATAGAAATAGTAATAAAGTGATACAGAGTGATGAAGATAGAAACTGAATGGAAGAGAGTAGTAGAACGAGGGAGAGAGTGAAAGAGGAGAAAGAATCGAAGGGGGAGAAGACAGAGAAATAGATATGACATGACTCTTTTACCTTTAACATGATGAATTGCTCTTCAACTGCAAAGCCAGGCCGGCAATCTGTCTAAACTAGGCAAAAGCTGGAGAAAAGAGAAAAAAAAACTTTTTTCTTTCTCTATTCCTATTTCGTTTTTATCTTTTCTTCTACTTCTGCTCCTTCTTCTCTGTCCTTACACTACGTATTCAATAACATTCCATAATCTTCAGTTGTTTTGGTCTTGGATAGTCGGCAAGACGTCTTCGTTTGAGAGAACGATGGTCCGAAGGCTGCGTTTGTGCCAGAAGATAAATCAGCCTGCATTCCTTTTTTGTTCTTGTTGTTTGTTAACCCTGAGGCAATTTGGAATTATACTGTTTGTCAACTATTAGAAAGCAATTGATTCGTCTATTTGGTAAAGCCTTTATTGGTTTGTCTTTCCAAACTCACTCTTGATGAAGCTTCTTCTCCAATTGAATCAGAAGATGAAGAATAAGCTGACAAAAGCTGATTCAAGATAATCGTTGGTAATCACATTACTTGTGCTTGAAGCTTTTCGATTTCATCAACAAAAAAGAAAAGAAAAAAGAAAGTTGAAGCTCAAATAATTTTTTTTTCTTTTTTTTTTTTTTGTAAAAGATGAAGAAAGGAGAAAGGCTTCTTCAAAGACGCTAACGATTATGGTTAAGGAGGGAGAAAGAGAGAGAGAGATTGAGAGGGAGAGAGAGAGAGAGAGGGGAATAGCCAACGATGTAAAGAATTGTATGCAAAATTCATGTCATTTTCAGTTTAGAATCTTCTTGTTGAGAAATCTGATGCAATTATCGTCAAATGCTTTACCCGAAGCTGCATATCTGAGAATACATGAAAATCGTCGTTGTTGCTCGTTTGTAAGCCTGAAGAGATAGCAAAGAGAAGACAGATAGGATGAGAGAGAGAGAGAGGGAGGGATAGAGAGAGAGATGAAGAGATATAGAAAGAGAGAGAGAGAGAGAAATAAAAATAGAATATGAAATGAGGAAGAGAGAGAGAAAGAGAGAAAGAGAGATAAAGCGAAAAGGGAGAATGGGAATTGTCTTTTTTCCCGTGTCAAACTCTAACAACAACTATCAATTTATCGTTTCAATTCATTCAGATTTTATAATTTGTTTTTTTGGCGAACTATGTCCCCGTTTTTCCCTTCCAATGCGTCCTTCTTCAGCTTAGTCCCCCCCCCCCCCCAATCCCCTTTTTTATTTTCGCTATCTCCCTCTCTATCTGACCCCCCCCCTCCCTTCACTCCCTCTACCCTTCGTCTCCCCTCTTAAAACGCATGGCATTCATAATGATGCAGTCTCATTAGCATATTATACAGCAAACATCTCGTCTACGTGAAGGCTACGTCAAAATCATTTTCACAAACAGCTATACGTGAAGATCGGTTGTGCGTGCTGTTCTCAACTTCATTCGCTCTTCGTCTTGTCGTCGTCTTCTTTTTCGTCTTTCTCTCCTTATTTTTTCCTTTTTTCTCTATAACCTTTCTTTTTTTTATATACTCTCCTTCACACCATCTACTACTTTTGAAGCATAGCAAGCTAAAACACGAAAAGCTGCCTCGGGGCCGGGCTGCTCACCAATTTAGTTACATTCCGCCTTATATGGAAATGCTTTTTCCCTCATCGAATCGCAGCATTTTTCGCACGTCTTCAATAAATTCAGCTGAGCTTTTTGTGTTCATTGCGTTTCAAATCGTCGTCGTCGCTACGTCGTCGTTGTTGGTCCATCTCATCGTTTGTCGTTCATATCCGTCAATTTGGTGATGTAACACTGCCATCAGACGATAACAACCATCTATAAGCATAACAGCCTTAAAGCTTCAAATGTAAAACACTTGACATTTGAGAGAACTCACTATTTTTCAACTGTATACTAATCAACGACGATGACAATGACGACATCAACGACAGCAGCAGCAGCTTCTGCTATGAGCTTAAGAAGAAAAAAGGATGTCAACGGTCCGTTTTTGCCTCATACACTACCAACCCCCTTTCACCCATCTCTCTCTATCTCTCTCTATCTCTACCACTCCATCCCTCTCTCTCTCTCTCTCTATCCTCATCGTGTTTTCATAAATGCAAAGTAATTAAATTTCATTTTTTTTTATATTTTCTTCTTTTCACGTCATTTTTTGAATTTTTTTTTCTGTTTCTGTCCTTTCCTCTCATCTTTTGTGTTCGAGAGCTTCATCATTCATTCAATTATTGTTTGGTTCGAAAAGAAATTTTATAATAAAGCCATGAATCTCCGACGATGTTTAACAAAGTCGAACATGTCTTGTCCTTTCCTTCTTCATAATATCCTCTCTCTCTCTCTCTCTCACTTCATACACGTCTCTTCATCATCATCATCATCATCATCATCACTCCCTCCCTCTCTCTCTGTTGTAACCTCTTTCTCATGTTGCTCTTTCGTTCGAACCATCTCATGAAATCTTTCAACTTTTGACTTTCTCCACATTTCTCTTTTAATTACCTTCCATCCCCTCTCTCTCTCTATCTCTCTCTCTCTCCCTCTATCTTCCTGGATGTTTTTGTTTCCAAAAACTTCGAACCAGATCTCTTGTTGCTATTGCCTCAGGCACTATTTGTACAAAGGCTCATAAAAATCTGCTCATTTAAGGAGCGTGAAATTTCAAAAATATACGGATGGCCTTTTTTATTTTTTATAATAATATTTGCAGCGTGCAAGGCAGCCGCCTTGTCGGCTTCTATGCTGACACGACGTAAATCGTCGCTGCCTTCAGATGGCGGTAAAGGAGGAGAAATACGAAAAAGGCGTGGAGAATCAGTTGTAGCTATAACAGATATTATAAACTTAGAGGCAACAGCTATCAATAAGAAGCCATCAGGTATGAATATCTCCATGTCTCATGTATTCAGAAGCATGAAGAGCTTGAGAGAACTGGAATACTAACATTCCTTATTTGCAGAATTGCAACAGAATGATATATTGAAGGAAATAGTTCGCATATCATGTTTGTTGTCCATGATCTCTGTCTGCATGCACACACCAGCCACTGTAGCATTCTGGCCCCCTCTCAACTACATCTTACTCATTTGTGATTGTTCATTAACCTTAGTATTCTTATTAGAAGCAATAATCAATATCCATCATAACGGTCTGTGGGAGGTTAGTCAATTCAAGAGAACTCATCATCTCATCAACCTCTTTCCAGAATGATTCGTCGTATCTCAGAGACAAATGGTCTCAGTTCGATTTATTCTTACTTATCATGCATATATTATCAACAGGATTACACGCATATCAGTTGATCACTATGTGGTTTCCTTTTTTTGGTCTCACGGTGAGTAGAGATCTCCTTCCTCTCCTCTGATCATTCTCTCACTTACAGTATTATGATTGGTTTGGAATAATCAGAGCTCCAAGACCGTTTGTTATGGTTCGATTTATCAGATCCATTGTTAGATTCAAACTTCCTAAAAATCGAATAAAACAGATTATGAAGTGAGTTGAGAACCTTCTCCAACGTACTGATGATCTTCCATTATAGACGATCATCACAGCAAATTCAGAATGTAACCATCTTCTTCATGTTCTTCATGGCGTTGTATGCTATTATGGGTGTTCAGTTATTCGGTTTGACTTTCTTCCACTTTCGCTTATTGAATTTGAGTCATTGAAGGACGAATGGATTATCATTGTGTCTTGAACGGAACTGATCCTCAGAATGTAACAATTGCTGATTTGGCCATTCCTGACACCATGTGCTCTCAGAAGGGCGAAGGTATATCTCTGATACGTTATCCGTCTTCACTATACCAACTGTTGTAGGAGGTTATGAATGTCCAGATAACATGGTTTGCTTGAAGTTAGACATGACAGCCAATGCAGAAGGCTTTTATGGAATGTTTGATGATTTCTGTAAGTTGTAGCATAGAGTAGAGCAAGATCAATAAGAATTTAATTAAGCTTCTTCTCTATTTACGGTTTACATGGCAGCTTCACAAGAAGGATGGGTTTATGTTCTATATGATTGTCTGGATACTCTGCCATCATATGTGGCTTTCATGTATTTTGTCACTTTAATATTCTTCATGGCCTGGCTTGTAAAAGTATTTTCCTTCGCTCAACTCATTGCTTATGAGAAAATGTCTTTCAGAATGTTTTCATTGCTGTTATCACAGAAACTTTCGCTGAAATTCGTGTTCAGTTCAGTGAGATGTGGCAAAGCAGAGAAGTGAGCTCTGAAGATACCTACACACAGGTATACACATAGAGATCTATGACGACACACATCAACCACACTATTGCAGAGATTAGAGCGTGGTGAAGAAGGCTGGAAGCTGGTTGAAGTTGATCGTTACAATAGGGGGACGAATAGTTCTAAACTTCTATATTCGGTCAGTAATACAAACCAACTGCATTCATACTGTCTCTTGTAGATTGTTAGCAGTACAAGTTTTCAAATAAGCATGATGGCAATGGTGTTACTGAATGCTCTTATCAATGCATCACTGGTTTATCGTCATGATGAGAGTGACGAGCCAAGGAAGCTAATTTATTATTACATAGAGGTCATTTCACTTCCTCTCTTCTCTCTCAATGTTGTTTTTCATTTTAGATAGCATTCACTATTCTATTCAACTTAGAATGTCTTTTGAAAATTGTCGGATACAGTTGGAAGGGTTACATACGCCGTGGTCAACATAAATTTGAATTAATCTTATGCATAGGTAATCATTTGGATATTGTGTAGTTGCAAGTTGATACAAATAATATGACGTAATATGTGGTGCCTACCAAGTAGTTCCGCAGTGTAGCCTCGTTAGCTCAGTTTGGTAGAGCGTTAGACTTTTAATCTAACGGTCAGGGGTTCGAGCCCCCTACGGGGCTAATCTTTTGCAAATTCCAAATTGTTTGTTTTAACTTTATTTTGCAGGTTCTACTCTCAATGTCGTTCATTTTTTCTACGGGATGAATATTTTTACATATTTTCAAGTTTTTCGGATCGCTCGTCTCATAAAAGCTTCACCAATGTTGGAGGATTTCGTTTATAAGGTTTGTGACCACTAGCCAATGGGTCTATCAGTCTCTTTGTTCTACAGATCTTTGGTCCAGGAAAGAAATTAGGTGGTTTGGTCATTTTCACAATGGTCTTGTTGATAATAACATCGGCCATTTCTCTTCAACTGTTCTGTTTTGTTCCAAAACTGAAGAAGTTCACAACGTTTCCAATGGTATGTATGAGGCTCATGAATTGCATTAGTCTTCTCTCTTTCAGGCATTCATGTCTATGTTCCAAATTATCACACAAGAAGGATGGACAGACGTGGTTGTTGAAATACTGAGAACAACAAACGATCGTCTAGTTCCGTTTGTAGCTGTGTATTTCGTTGGATATCATTTATTGGTCACATTGGTGAGGGATTGTCTTCCATTCTGTCTCATACTAGCCCATTCAAGATTGTGTTGAGTCTTTTCGTTGCCGTCATTTTGGATAACTTGGAAATGGACGAAGAATTGAAAAAAGTAAAACAATTAAAAGCTCGAGAGCAGGTAGCATAGCACCGGTGAGGTATTGCATCATGTTGTTGTTTCCAGAACACGATCAAAACAACGTTGCCTTGGCGTTTAAGGATCTTCGACCGATTTCCTACTCGTCCTCAGATGATTAGCATTAAGAAGGTAACTACTCATCTCTTATCATCAGCTATGTAATGTGTTTGAAGATATCATCTGAGTTTCCATTACCCAAGATCCGAGATTCATTCACGAGACAGTTCTCTGAGATGGAACACGCTCCCCACGATGATAGTGGTAACTCGATTGAGCATTGAGTCATTTGATTTCCGATTCCCTTTTAGACACGTTAGCATCGCGTTCAATTTTCCGACGAGTGTCTCACATTCGAGCTCAACATCGCTTAAGACTCAGACATATCGGACACTATTCGTCAAGAAGCATATTGAACTCAATGTTAGAGTATGTTATCTTTTTTGTTTCATTTCTATTGGTCTGATATCTCTTTGTAGTGAATCCAATAGGAATAGAGCACTGTACTCAGATTCAAATAACTTCATTGCTAACTTTGGACGAAACAGCCACAAGTCAACAAAGGGTGCGACTGTGTAAGTCTTTTCAACTTAATTGCTTCATACTCTCTAAGGTTAAGGCGTACGAGATCAAGAGGGTTAACTTCTATAAAAGGAAAGAATCACTTGGTTGAAGGATTGAAGGTTAGAACACTCTCAACTTAACTATTTTCATCGAACTTTCAGGAGAATGGAGATATACGGCCTTCAGATTCTGCACCTAAGAATGAGTCGAAACACGGTGAAATTGATATCAAAGCTCTTCAGCAGAAGCGAGCTCATGCGGAAATCACAAGGTTTGGAGTATTACCTTACTCATGTCAAATTCATATCTTCTGCTCAGAAACCGAATTGAAGAAGAAATGAGAGAAAACCACCCGATGTTCGATCGTCCGTTGTTTACGGTCGGAAGAGATTCACGACTAAGGAGGATTTGCCAAACAATTGGTAGAGTCAATTGAGGAATCAATGATCTCAACATGGTGTTTCAGTTTATTCCCAGTATAACCCGGAGACCATAGACCCTGTGACCGGAAAACAGACTCAACTGAAATACAAACAGCTCCAGTGAGTTAGAGAACAACCGTTCACCGCGCAAGCGTCAATAGAAATGAATACGTGATTCGAAAGGAACTGTGTTCCACGTGATGCTAGTAGTTTCACGTGACATGAAAATAAGACGGAAACTGTTGCAGTGAATAAGTAATGAGCTTAAGAATTGATGTTTCAGTGAATTCATTGGTCTAATGACTTACTTGGATTGGGCGATGGTGTTAGTGACATCCGTTTCATGCTGGTCAATGTTGTTTGAAAGCCCTTGGCCAACGACTGGAGAGAATTTGATTTTCAACAACCGTTACCTTCAGGTTTCCGCAGTAATAGTGTGTAGCAATGAACTTCCATTTATAGATAACAGAGTATTTCTTCGTTGCTGCCATGACATTCGAGTTGTCCGTCAAAGTACTTGCCAATGGGTTGTTCTTCACTCCGAAAGCTGTGGTTAAGGATGTCGGAGATATTATGACGTTTTTCATTTACTTTGTATGTTTTAATCCTATGTATCATATTTATCATATGTTATAGACGAGTGTGATCTATCTTGTGTGGATGCCAAATCGGGTTGAAATCAATTCCTGGGCTCAACTACTAATGATCTGTCGAGCAATGAGACCGCTGAGGGTGTATACTCTTGTACCTCATATTCGACGAGTTGTTGTTGAGTTATGTAGGGGTTTCAAAGAAATTCTTTTGGTAAGCTATATGATGTCTCACTAGGCTATTTCAAATGACTGTTGTAGGTAACAATCCTTCTCATCGTGTTGATGTTCGTCTTCGCTAGCTTTGGCGTTCAAATTGTTGGAGGAAAGCTTGCGGCATGTAATGATCCGACCATCTCAACACGGGTATCATATTCCTCTTTCTCATTCGGTTTCTAAACCTACCTTTGAAGGAGAACTGTACGGGAGTATTTGAACAAATGATTTTCGTAACTCGAATGGAGGTTTATGGGAAAAACGACGAAAGATTGCATCCGAAAATTCTTGTTCCCCGTGTTTGGTAAATACGATCGAGTCTTCCTTCTCATTTTCTTTTCTGTTTAAGGACAAATCCTAGGAACTTCAATTTCGATCATATCGGAAATGCAATGTTGGCACTCTTTGAAACGCTATCATATAAGGGCTGGAATGTTATAAGGGACATCTTGTATCTTCGACAAGGACCGGTAACCATATCCTTTACAATCATCCCTCATCATATGGTTCATTACAGTGGGCAGTAGTATTTATACATATTTATGTATTCATTGGTTGTATGATTGGCTTGACACTCTTTGTCGGTGTCGTGATTGCCAATTATACTGAGAACCGGGTTTGTTAACTAAGAGCTCATGCGATCATTCATACTATGCTCTTCAGGGTACTGCCTTACTAACTGTTGACCAACGTCGTTGGCATGATCTAAAAGCTCGTCTCAAAATGGCTCAGCCTCTTCATGTACCACCAAAGCCTCCTGAAAGTGCGAAGCTACGTTGTTATCTGTATGATCTTACACTACATCCTTGGTTCAAGCGGGTACATTAGAAGCATGTACTTCTTATTGATATGGTTTTCTTTCTCAGGCCTTTGTTATTCTTGTTATCGTCAATTCATTCACTTTGTATGTTCCATGGAATGTTGAAGAGGAGCAAAGAAGTGCTCGTCTCCTCTTCGCTCTAACTGTCCTATCAGCCATATGTAGCATCGGATTTCTTATCGAGGTATTAGCTTCTGTTTCTTATGGAGTCATGAGTCTCTTATAGATTTTACTCAAAATGGTCGCTTTCACTATACGAGGGTTCTGGCAATCACGTCGTAATCGTGTTGATACTGTGATTACAGTTCTCGGATGTGTATGGATTGTGTTCCATTTCCTATTCCAAGGTAAGGTAGTCTATCCTATTGCAATAGTTAACATGAATACAGTGCCTGCCTACTTCGCTGGTAACATCAAAGAATGGAAGAGACTGACTTACACCTTTGGTTACATTGTTGTTATTCTCCGATTCTTCACCATTGCAAGTATGTGAAACTTCAAACTGTGTATACGAAAACATCATTTAAGGTCGACGATCAACTTTGAAAATGCTCATGTTGACAGTCGTCATGTCTATGGTTCGATCATTGTTCATTATAGCAGCAATGTTTCTCCTTGTATTGTTCTATGCTTATACGGGAGTCATCCTATTTGGAATGGTCAAATATGGTCAAGCAGTCGGAAAGTATGTATAAGCTTTCTGGAAATCAATAGAAGTTCCATATTAAGACATGTCAACTTTCGAAATGGCCGCGAAGCCTTGGTAGTTCTCTTCCGTAGTGTTACAGGAGAAGATTGGAATGATATCATGCATGATTGCATGGTAAGCATAGATACCTTTTATAGTCATCAAGTTATACTTACAGCGGTCCCCACCATTCTGTCATTGGGATGAAGGACTGAACTACTGGGAAACAGACTGTGGAAACTACTTTGGTGCTATCATCTACTTTTGCTCATTTTATTTAATTATCACATATATCGTTTTGAATCTACTTGTCGGTACGTTTGTAAGGCTACTGTACCTCTCCTGACTGTGCCCTTATTCAGCTATCATTATGGAGAACTTCTCGTTGTTCTATTCGAGTGAGGAAGACGCTCTACTCTCATACGCAGATATACGTAATTTCCAACAAGTTTGGAATACTGTTGACATCGAACAGAAGGTATTCAGCATATTTACCGATGATGTCATAATGCATATCCTCTTATAGAGATCAATACCTGTTCACAAAGTGAAATTCCTTCTCCGGTTATTACGTGGTCGCTTAGAAGTAGATCCCAATAAGGATCGTCTCTTGTTCAAACATATGTGTTATGAAATGGAAAGGCTTCATAATGGAGAAGATGTATCTTTCCATGATGTTCTCAAGTGAGTGCCTTTCCAACTACTGGTCAATGAAACTTCTCTATTGCAGCATGTTATCATATCGAAGTGTAGATATTAGGAAAAGCTTACAACTCGAAGAATTGCTTCAAAGAGAAGAACTCGAATATATCATCGAAGAGGAAGTTGCCAAACAAACAATTCGAAATTGGCTCGAACAGTGTCTTCGTCGGATCAAAGCCAAGCAAAACAACGTAAGTCTCATGAGTGTGCTTCTTTGAGTATTCATCATCCGTTTCAGGCAGAGTCTGGTGCCAGCACTACTCATCGGCTAAGCTGTCATGTGGCTAGCATGGCCATGCAGCCAAACCTCTTACTCACGAACTTGCCTATCACTCAAGTACTATTATTGTTGGTTATTGTAGTAAACAACATTGCTTAAGACATTGGAATCGATCGAATCGCGTGAAAGTCAAGAGGAAGATCATTCGACCAAAAAACGAAATCGCCGTAGGAATAGTATTCCGGAGCTTGTGGGCGAAGCAAAGAAGTTTATGCTTGGCATGGGCAAACGTCTTGAGAAAGAGAAGAACACCAACAAAGACCGTCGAGGTACTCTCAAGCAATTGCAAGTTAAGGTAAGCAATCATTCATATTGATATACTCATTGATCTCATCATCTCTAGCTTCCAACCTATGAACTGCCAGAGCTAGAAGAGAACGTAGAAGAGACAGTGGATTCTCCTCAAGAACGTAGACACTCCATGGATGCAGCCATGAACAATCTTCACGGTAACATTGTTTTCAATCAAAATATTTGTATCAACAACATACTTGTGCAGAGAGTTTGATGCAACAGAATTCAACGCCATCAGTCGAATTCCCATCCATCGAGTTCGGTCCAGACGTCGATCACTGGTGGACAACCTTAGAAAAAGAAGATAACTATCTGATTATGTAAAAGAGAAACACTACACACAATCATCACGGGTATATCAAAGTTCAAACAAGAGATTATCGTTTTACCTTCTCCTATACGTGTATGTAGAATTCTAAATGTAATAATAAAGATTTATACTATGATACATCAAGCACAGCCGCATCATCAACCATCCTCATTAGAAATGAAAATATAGACGCCCTTTGAAATACACGTGAAAGACACGTGAGTTCATTATGCTAATGAGGAACTCTAATCATATGTGTTATGTTCTTCTTTTTTTTCTTTCAAAGATAATCTTTGATTGATCTTAGCTCTTAACAAGTATCCCAGACTTCTTTTATAACTTGTTTGACCTTGCCAGTTACGAGAAGAATCTCACCTTGCTCTCTATCATTGCTCCTCTCGGCTCACAGTCTCCCTCTCTCCAAACACTTGACGTTTCTTTGGCATTTTGAGTCATCGGAAAGAAATAGAAGCAAGCACGGACGGTCACATATATTAAACTGACAAATATCTCAAGCATTTCTCTTGATCATCTTCTTCATCTAGCACAGCAAGAATGCTGGCATTGTTCGTCGTTTTTTCATCTTCACGACATTCTCCTGTAAATGTTATTTGCTTGAACTTGCCAGAATATGCTTGTATGCTACTGAACTTTGATTAGATAAAGCCACGAGGTTTCAAACGGTTTACAGATAGAGTGAGCGAGACGTTTTCGCTTCCTCTTCAGCTTCATCTCTGAGACTACGCTGAAGCATATGCACGCTTTGCCCGTGCCACCCACCCATGTCATCATCGGAATTTGGTGAATGGAATCTTCATCTTCACACATTTACTCTCACTTGTGATCTATGTGTTAAAAGTCTGAAAGATCATTTGTATGAATGAGATGAAGTATAGAAGAATGTGAAGATGTAGATGATCAACTAAGCGTCCCAAGTTCATAATTCACATCAGTAGAAGCTTGATGACACTAGTAGAAGTTGTAATCTCTCTCTATCTATCTATCTCTCTCTATCAATAAGAGTCTGAGAGGGAACTGTTCATTGAAGTTTGTTAATAATTTCGAAAGACAAACAATGTCACATGAAAAATGTTTTAATAGGGTCTGGATGAGTAAAAACTATTTTTTTTTGTTGACATTCCGACTTTGGTTAGTTGGTTGAGGAAGTTAAATGTCAACATAACATTGTCTTCAAACTTCTTCAAAATTATCTGTTTACATGATTGGTACGTGTATGTTTCTTTAATAAATCAATATCACCTCAGGGGGTAAATAGAGATGGAAGTACGTTTTGATTGAAGTTTCAACTCTCTCTCTCTCTCTCTCCCTCTTACTCTCTATCTAACTCTTAAGGTATCTCTTTCAAGTACAATGAGTAAGTTATAGACAGATGGAGAGAAAGAGAATATGGTATATGGAGGGAAAGGTGAAAGAGTAGAATGAAAGTTGTTGAAAGCAAAAAGCGAACGCTCATTGGTCATCAAAAATCGTTCAACAGACATTCTGATGGCAGATGGCGACGTCAAAAGTGAAAATACAAGTCATGTTCACGTAATCTACTTCTTAAAGTTAATTGGGCAAATAGCATGTTCAATATGCAATAAACATATTTACAAGAAGAAAAAAATTATTTTTGTTTTCTCTTCTTGATGAGCCGCTGATGCTGATGACGACAAGCTGGGATGCAGGAAAATTAATTTTCGGTTATGCTTAATGGTCCTTAGCTCTTGATTGCTCTTAGCTTTGATTCAATTATGCTTCATACCAGTCATCAGAGGTGTCAGGTTCCGAAGCAGCAAATCCGTATACCGGCCCCGTTCCATTGAACATCCGAATGAACAATAATACCGGAACCGTTCCGGACATCATACACACGTCTTTTGACCAACAACGTGTTCTTCTGATTCTCGTCATAACCGGAGTTTCAATTTGTTTCATTTTCCTCCATATATGGTCGTCATTGCTTTTTTGATTCAAAAAAAGTTGATCGGGATCTTAAGTGATGATTCATTGAGACACACAAATTCACAAGATATGGCAATACGACAATCTGTGTGTGAAAACATGTATTTTGACCTTCCGACAGCAATCATCAACCACATACGCAGAGGTAGAGGTAAAGGTAGAGAGTGAGCATTAGCAGCAGCAACAGCAGCAGCAGGAGCACGTGAATGAACGAGTAAGTATCTGCTAGTTACCTAAGAATAACCTTAGCAAATACCTCGCATTCTGTACGACATTGTTAAGCTTTTGACTTTCGTCAGTTACCAGTTTTCAATACAAAGATGGAGCAAAAGCCAAATAGTCAACTTGTTCATCATCAGAGCTTCACTTCTTCTCAAATACATCATTTTGCCAGAAATTCAATATTCAATCGAATAGATTACATTCGAAGCTGATGATAGAAGATTGAAGATGATGGTGATGAGAATGATGATGATGATCTGACAAAGTAATCAAAAGGAATGAGATACGGTGGATAGATGGAGCATCGGATGGTTCGATGGTTACCTGATTACATCTTGATATCTTCAATTCTGGTTTTATTTACTTTAATCTTTTCAACTTTGCTCGAGAAATTTGCCGTTATAATCATTGTGATTCTGAACTTCTTGCCCTCTCCCCTCAAATCCTTCTCTCTATCTCTCTCTCCCTCCTTCTTCTTCTCTCTCTCTATCGCTCTCTTTCTTTCTCTTTCGGTACACACACATACACACACATATAGATATCTCTTCCTGCCTGTTCCTCATGACTAAGTTGTTTCCCTTCGCGCCTCATCCAACCATTGGAATCTGGGCGTGGTCCTGAAGAGGTTGGCAGATCGAAGTTACCACCCCCAAACTCCATATAAAAGAGCTCAGGAAGCACAACAACTCAACTCAGACTCGTCTGTCGGCAGTTCTTCAGTCAGTTAACACTGATTACAATACAACTCAGTATGTTCTCGTAAGTTTTTCATTTTCATTTCCATATAGCTCCATTACACACATTGTGCTGCTTCATTCATTCATGTGTGCATGTGTATGTGTGTGTTCGTGAACATCTGAAAGGTCTTTATCTCTCTAAAATAGTTTGTGAATAAGCCAAAGGTTGGATGAGCACAATGGAAGTTTCATGTTTCAGAAAGCTTTCAACCAAAACCACTATCTTCCGTTTCAATTCTTTTGTCCAAAAAATAACTGAATGAAACAGAAGACGTAGTTTCAGCTTAAACTGTCCCCCATTATACATGACCATGTCGTCATTCTGTTTCCATAACAGTCCAAAAATCTAGTTTTTTTATATTCATTTTTGTGCCAAAAATGAAATGAAAGAGCCAAATCAAACAAAAAAATGTTTGAGAGAAGACCTATGGTTAACAACGTTTCTCAAGTGGGGGTGTGAGGGAGAGGTGAGATCGAAATAACAACCGTTCCACACGTTGATCATAGTACAAATGATATCATCACGCACATCCACGTATATCTCACGTCAACTTCATCTATATGCTAATTCATTTCAGATACGTCTGTTTACTCGTCTTACCCGCTGTGGTTCTCTCACAATGTACCAACTGTGGTGAGTTCACTTCTTAATTATTTGAAATCCCTGGGTTCTCACGTAGATACAACACAATTAGTCACAAACATTTTAAGTTGACAATCAAAACAACAGCAAACACATATGACCTCACAGACGTTATGTTTTCTTCTACTTCTTTCTCATTTCATCTCTCTCTCTCTCTCTCATCTTCTCTTTTTTGTTTCTCACTCTCTCTCTCTCTCTTGTTCTATTCTCTTCCAACACCCAGCTTCAGCTTCTACTCCCTCTAACGCACTACTAAGCAGTCTTCATTCATAACTAACTATCTTAACCGTCAGATTACTTACCAGCTCATCGTCAACGATTATTTCGACGTCAAATATCAGATGAAGCAAATGAACCTCATTTGCAACAACCTGATGATATTGATGAGAATGGCGACTTGTCGTCATTCGTCATACCCAGTCCTCAAAATGGAATACCCGGATATTTACCTGATTATGAAGGAGATCGTTACACCCACCCTGACCGGATAGAAGAGACGCAATATCTTAACAGACTCTTTTTCGAAGCATTGCGTGTCTTAGAAGCCCGAAACCTTTTGCCACTTCCTCTATTGGCTGTGCGAGACGATTCCAACTCAACATTGTTGTTTGACGATGAACCATCTCATGATGACAATTCGACAACTCTGGAATCGTCAACAACAGTCATGCCCCTTCTTCTGTCAGATGAGATAGTAACCTCATCCCCCATCCCTCAGTTAGATGAACCTCAGACAACTGAAACTCCAAAAAGGACGAGTCCATATAACTATTTGCATGTGACACCCGTAGATCTAGTTGAACTTCAAAAGAATGCTCAAGTGACCATAGTAGAGATAGTGCCTGAAGATCCTGAGAGAAGAACGTTTGATGAGACCTATTTGAAAGAAGCGAGTAAAGCTCTCTTAGAAGCTTTGAACAGAACAGTCAATCATACAATGACTTCTGATCAAATCGAAATCAGTTTTGAGGATGAGAGTCAGTCGAACCATACCCTTCCATCTGTTTGATTCATCTTCTTCCAATTTTCAAATATTTATTTCATTCTTATCTGTACATAATTGATTGTGATAATTAACGTTTCATTATACTAATCATAAATAATTATAACATATCATATACTTAACTAATCATCGCATAAATTAACATAATTAGTCATTGATTACATAATACAGACAATATAAACCTTTACTAATTTCAAAAAGCACACAATATATAAACTATTATGAGCTTTTACCCAAGCTTTTCCATCTTCAGGAACCAACAACCAGTATGCTTCCTCTTCCTCATCCTCTTCCCAAGCTTATCAGTCTCAACAACAAGATGGCAATCAGAACACTCCCGGCTATCTTCCTGACTATCAAGGAGATAAATATACCAATCCTCAACGTATCCAAGAAACCCAAGCTCTCAATAAAGCTTTCTTTGACTCCATTGGAGGTGCCCCTCCAGCACCACCTCTCACTCCTGCTCAACAAGGAATGAACGGTGGTACCACTGGTAATTCATTCAATCCCTCATCATCATCATCATCCTCTTCCAACTATGGATATAGCCAACCCAATATGGGATACAATCCTACTACCAATGTAAATAGCGGCTATCCTTATCAAGCCCAACCCGCCCAATATGATTACACTAGCAACAACCAACAATTCATGAACACTCAGCAGCGCCAGTATGATTATACTAGCAACAACCAACAGCTCATGAACTCCCAGCAGCGTATGAATACCCAACAGCAAACAAACCAATACTGTTGCAATGGTAATACATATGGTCGTAGAAGAAGATCAGCTCCCTTGTTTGAATTCATGCAACGTCACCCAACCATCTATTCTTTCTAAACAACTCATATAATGTCTCTCCAACCTTCCTCCTATATCTCCCACTTCCTCCCAGCCATCTTCCTATCTCCTCGAGCAAAATCTCGATTGGAAACGATTTTTTCGACTTCGAGAAACGAACATCATCCGAAAAGATCACGTATGTACATAATTCCTTGAACTCTAATGCAAAATGTTTTTTAAATCGCTTTTTCCTGCCTGATAACATGAAACGTCTTGTATTTCAATTGCAACGTGTCTTCATCTATATGTCCTTAATGCTCTTTCCAATAAACCAAACGATGTACACGAAGTCAGAAGATGAGAACTCACACACACACACACATAGACAACCACATGGAACATCAGATGAAAGGATGAACACAACAAGATCTATGCCAACAAACAAACATAAAGCCAAAATATAATAATGATTCTTAATGAATTCAGGTTCTTCATCATCTTACACGAACCAACGTATGTACAATCCTTCCTCCAGCAGTTCTGGATACAGCAGCTCCTATTATAGTCCTGTTCTTTACAATCCTAGCTCAAACAGTAATTCGATGATGTCTACTACCACTAGAGCTCCACAACGTCTATATGACAACTACAACTCAAACAGTTATACCACTGGATACAATTCCGGATCCAGCAACCAATACCAAAGTCCTTATGGAAGTACAAACAACTATTTATTTGATTATTGGAATACCAACGGAGCTTCAATGACAAGCAGCGATTTGAATCAACTTATCCTCAATCCAAATCGTGTTCTCTATGATGCCATCTCTGCTACAAGCACCGCTAGCCCTTACTATAATTCCGGATCAAATTCTTACAACAACAACTACATGTACAATCCATCTTCTGCATCGACATCATCATCTTACTACTCAACGACAGCTCGACCATACACTTCTACCTACAATCCCAACAACTATTACTCTTCTACAGCATCTTCCCAATACAATAACAATGCCATGTACAACAACAACAATGGCATCTATTCTAACAGTGCTTATGGAAGCAGCTCATGTTGTTCCGCTACATCTTCCAGCTGCTGTTACCAAATGACCAACAGCAACTCTGGAAGTAACTCAGCTAACACCGTCTTCTACGACCCCAACATGAGGTCGTCTTCATCATCATCTTCCAGCAATTATTATTACTATCCTTACAGAACATCCTCACAATACAGCAACACGCAACCCAACAACTCTCCCATCACCTACAGCTATTCCAACACATACGGAAAGAAGAAGTAAACCTCTCCAGAGCACGTATTCATAGAACCGACGACACAGCATGAGAATCTCATTTTAAACTCAACCTTTGACATTGCCGAGATGTACATTTCCTTTGTATAAATGAAAATAAAATGTTCTTTTTCAATCTCTCTTCATTCGTCTTTGAACAAACGACACAATCACAACAACATTCAAAACTATGAAAATGAATAACAAAACAATGAATATGACTACCTACTATCTTGGAGATCTAATCCCATCTATTTCTTTGGATTAAAGATGACAAACTGTCTTCGATCGTTGTATTCTTGTGTAAAGAGTTTCCGATGTTAGCTCTTCTTCTAACAGATACTTTGGAACCTTCAATTCTCTTCTCCTGCAATGACATGTTCATCATGACGTCTTCATGTTCTCAATCTCATCGACAAACCTTTCCGGGCATTTTCTTAGCTTGCTGTTCCTCTACCTCTCTCTCTCTCAACTCTTCCAAACTTTTCACATTCAAATGCTCGAAATAGTCTTGTTCAACAACCTACAATGTCATATTGATTGGAAGAGACGAAATGAAAGTGCAGATGTTACCTCAGTTACGTAAGGCCTAGCAAGAAGGCTCATCACTCCGAACTCTCTGTTCAATCTGTCTCTCAATGTAACCACTTTGTCAGGATAAATAGGTAGATCAGGTCTTCCAGTTCTGTAAAGAGAGAAAGAGAGAGAAAGTAAAGAGAGTGTGAAAGAAGAGAACTTACACTTTCTGTTGTGGAAGAAGAGGGCCTCTGTAACCAATCTCAAACACCTTTCTATTCCAATGGCGCCGATTGAGGTTTCCCCTAAGGGCCCTACTGAAGAACATCTAAGAATAAAATGTAAATGAGAGTATGAGAGTATGGAACATCAGATATCAAAGAAGACAAGAATCTTCATATGGTCATGTAAGTAGAGAGTGAAAGAGGTTTGTTCTGGACATTTAATCAGCTTTAATACAACAAAAGTTCAGATACAAAATAATGAACAAATCCACCAAATTCCCCAATAGATATGATCCTCTCAGTCTTCCCTACATATCACAACTTTGACTGGAACAAGCTGAGTACAACACAATAAATTATAGATTATAAATACACGAACAAGACTCAGGAAGCATGATGACTATCTTATTCACAAAATTGACTGTAAACTAAATAAGTTAACCATTGTCATTATAAAAACCGAAAAAAATTTAAAATATCTATGAACGATCAGTATTATTACTTGTAAGGGAGAAAGCACAACCTCGCTGATTATTGGGTACGACCGTATGCTCCCGCAGAGCCTATCCGTGGAGCAAGTGATTTAAGCTCCAAGATTAATAACCGCAGACCTTGCCCCCATGAAACGATCTCCTTCAAATAATTTTCTTTCAAACAAAATGAACGAAAAGAAAATAGAAAACCTGAGGAAACTGCTGTTGTAATTGATCGAAGTATGTACCGGCCTCTTCATACAGCTGACGATCAATAGCTACAAAGAAAACTCATGAAACATAGCCGATGAAGACAAATCACCATCGACGACAAAATTCAATTTCTTCAAACAGCCTTCTGATATTAAATTCTGCTGGATCATTTCGTTTAGAACTCGTAATCGTAACTGAACACCTTGGCATTTCACCTGATCAAGAAGAAGATGAGCTTTAGGAAACAGTTAAGGGTATACTAACCTCTGGTAAACGAACACTAGCCTTTGTCAAAAACTTAACTAACTGAGGTCCACTAAGTGAGACATCTCCTGCTGCTTTAACTGGAGGTCTGAAAGATCAAAATTCAAATTCAACACGTGCTCTGTGGAGGGCATACTGATAATTATCATATTGTTGAGCAAATGTCTCATTACCATCATCAACCGTATTAGGAGGCGAAAAAACCAAGTTGCCAGCATTGGACTGAACCACAAGAAATAAATATTTACGTAAACATGTTTGATACCTGCTGTGGTGGATAATTGTGATGAGAGTTCATTGCTTGATGAGGGGGTTGCAATGGAACAGGCTGAGCACCTATAATAGCGAATAAAACCTCAATGAAGAGTAAATGACAGGCTGATGAACGTGATAATATCCATGATCTCTCAAGGGAGAACAAAAGCGAAATTTAAAAGATGATTGTGAGGAAAACAACACGTTGATCAATTGGCTACGTAATGAGTACTTACCATGTTGAACGTTATAAACTGGTTGCTGATGAGCTTGATAATTTTGGTCAACAGGATTACCAGGATGTTGGTGTGGCTGTGTCATCTATAATAGAATGCTAAGATGAACATGATGAAGCTACTATGTGTGTGAATGAGTGTGTATGAATAGAGAAATATCATGTAACTGATTGTTGAATAACATCAAGACATTTAAAATGAGAAAACTGAGATTAACAAATAGCAAAGATAGCATATTGAGATGAAAAGAGAATATCTCACAAACAGTGATAGTACTGAATCAATGTGATGTGCAGAAATGAAGCTTTTAATATTGCCAACCTGAGGTGTTATTGGATTTCCTGATGGAAGTTGAAGAGGCGCTCCATACTGAGAAGGTGCTTGTGTATTTGGTTGGAACTGAAACAATGTATTTATAGTATGCATATAGATAGGAAGGAGGAAGGAAATACTATCCTGTCCTCTGTTTGCAACGTAATGTTAATTAACAGCCGAAAGAATATAAAATGTATACCTGATTAGAGTAATTCTGTGGGACATTCGCAGCGCCAGCACCTGGTAATGAGTTTGATTGGAATGGAGGATTTGAAGCATTGTTAACAAATGCTGCTTGAGGAAGAGAAGGATTCAATTGTCCTTGCCCGTCAGCAGGTCGATACTGAAGAATAATTCTGCATTAATTCCATTTCATGTGAAATGCAAAGCCATAATTACTATATTAAAAACATTATGCACGCTTACGAACACTCAATAATTGGTCTTCGAGAGCGAGTACACACCTTCTCAAAATAACAACAAAAGAAAAAAACCTACATTATTAGCTGCAGGAGGTTGGCCAGGTTGGGCATAAGCTTGATTCGGATTAGCTACCATCTTAAAAAAGATTATGAAATAGAGAAGAATAGAAGAATGCTAACCCCATATTGTTGATATTGCTGATTAGGTGGAGGGATTCCGGCAACAGCACCAGCTCCAGCGTTGTAGCCTCCTGTATGTTGATCCCCTGGAGGTCCAGGATTGTATCCTCCGGCGTGTTGCTGTGGAGCCATTTGTTGAGGATAACCTGCTGGAGCTCCGTAGGGATTGGCTTGAGCTACACCGCCATAGCCTGGCGCCCCTCCCTGTTACATGTACATGTGATCTCTGAGAACTCTTGAAAAGCTTACTTGACAGGAAGGATCAACAGGACGACGCCGTAACTGAGCTAAACGATTACTTTGTTGCCCAGAATTATTAGTAGACATCGGTGGAGGATCGTTCCATCCTAAACATCAAAAAAATATGAAACATGACACTTAACTAGTATTACCTGCAGGTAAACTGGATGGCAAGGTTGACTGAAAAGATTCATACTTGTATTGAAGATCCATGCTTCCCCTGAAAGATCATAAGACTGAAGTACTATGAAAATGGGTAAAAAGATATTTTAAAAAAGAAAAGCATCACAACAAGCCAAGCAATATGTTATTAACTATACAAAGCATAGTTAAGTCAAATTATTTGGCATAAATACGTAGCGTTACGTCGGGAAAACAGACTACGTATTCAAAAGATACCGTATGTAGCTTTTGCCGAAAATAAAAAAAACTTGTTAAGAAACTTAAAATTGAACATAAAATATTGGACTTAATGATACTGAGAGTTTACAATTCGAAGTTCAACTCGATTAGAAGTGTGGAGTCTGAAAGGAGCGAAGCAATCAACCGACCGATCGTCACCGCATCACGCTTAGAAATGAAGGCACACGAGTTAGTTTAGTCAACGTCCTTATGACACGTATTCTAATTTCATGGATTTCATTGAGGTATGTATGATTCATATGAAATCAATCAATTGTGCTTAGAAACATTTATTATTAGATTTTGACATTTTTACTTTCTAATTTGGCAATTAGCGATGGCGAGAGAGGAACCCGATTACGTCGACGCTTGTCCGTAACTTTACCCGAACTTTTCAAATCAATATTGAATGGGTACAATGGTGCTGAAGCTTCATATAAAACATCTGACCAGCAGCTCAAAGCATTCAATAATTCCATAAATCTGCGGCTCTAAATTGCATTAAGATTGAAAATTTCATTTGAAGTATTATGTCTGGCGGCGAAATCAATTCTTACATCTTCGCGGTCTTGAGTAGGTAATACTGAAAGAATTCCTTCCATAATTGAATTAAGCTCATATGTTTTTTTGTCCAATGCCAATTCCATCATGTGAGATTTTTGCTGTTCAGGAAGAGCATCTAACATTCGTAGAAATGCTGTTGGGGGCAAATATTTATCGACCAAATACAAATGACCAACATCCTAAATGGCCATTCAATTGGAGTTTTTATGTTATTGTTGTTGTTCTCAATGTTACTTCATTTTCCATCTCTGTTGCTCGTGAGAGCAAAATATCAGCGATTGAGCCAAATTCCCAAAGTTTTACAGCTCTTCTAGCTTCAAGCACGTCCAACGGCTTTGGACGTAGAAGGAAAATGGCTGTTGTCAACAAGGAGCTATGACTGCATGTGTCTGCAATTCCTTTTTTTGTTTTTCATGGAAACTCACTAGGTAGCAAACTCTGGATAAGAACTGTTGAAGACGCTAGGGAGGCTTGTTGAAGAACGTAGAAGAAAACGAAAGTATAAATGCTGCACAACATGAGAATATAGAGTCTACGAAACATACAAATGGAATGTTACCATATCATCATTTCCATAATCTGTTCGTTGAATTCTCATCCTACTTGTTAAATGAAATAATAGAGAGAGAGAGAGAGAGAGAGTACCGAAGAGAGAGAAAGCAAAACACAACCGCTCTCAGCGTAAAAAAAAAGAAAAATAAAATTGACGTGAGATTCTTCACGTGAAACATCATTGGAAAAAATATTTATTAATCAAATTCAAAAAGTTATGCGAGTAATGTAAAAATAAATTTGCGAGCTAAGACAATTCGGTTCAAGTGAGTTAGGATAGGTAAGACTTTCCGAAAATTTAATTTCAACTGTACATATTCGAGGCTGTCATAGAATTCGTCTTCGCTACAAAACAGAAGAGACTGTGAAAGCTCTAGACTTTCAAGCTGAAATGGAAAAATGAAGCTGAAATGAGGTAAGGTTAGTCATCACATTACTTTCTTGATATCTTTCTTCCATTTAAGAACGAGCTTCTGTTTACGCAGGGGTAGAGAGCTCATAGTAGCAGACATCAGTTTTACTTTCTGCCTGATATATGAATCTAATTCTTCTATTATCTGAAATGATCAAATTTCATTTCCTTCTCTGATTGTCTGTCGTCTCACCTTATTTACAGCTTTGTCTGATACTTTACCTCTCAGATATTCTTTGGGTACACTATCAACTTCTTCCGATGTCACTGGACGCAATCGGGGATGACCAGAAGTTTCTGATTGTCCACGACGTCGTAGTCGACCAGAGAAAGCGCGAGTTTCAATAAGAAACGGTGCTTGAGGTATCAAGCTGATCGGTGCTTGAGGTTTTGAGCTGATCGGTGCTTGAGGTATTGGGCTAATCGGTGGAGGTAGTGGGCTGATCGGTGGAGGTATTGAGCTGATCGGTGCTTGAGGTGTTAAGCTGATCGGCGGTTGAGGTATTAAGCGGGTCGGTGGTTGAGGTATTAAGCGGGTTGGTGGTTGAGGTATTGAGCTGATCGCAGGTTGAGGTATTAAGCTGATCGGCGGATATCGGAATGAACTTGGAATCTGAGCGAGAACTGTTTGTTCTGTTTTCTTTCTCTTGATATTCTAATACGATGATTAAAGACAGACATACAAGAAATGATATACCTGTGGATTGAACTCATATCTGTTAGCGAACACATCGCAAGCGTTTAACCGTTTCATGAAAGTTGACTGTTCTATCCTTCGCTCTGCTATTCTTCGCTCAGCTAACCTTCGGTCAGCTATCCTTCGTTCAGCCATCGTTCTTAGATAGCTTCTCTCTGGAACAACACAAGATCTGAAGCTTGTTGAGAGAAGCATAACAAACAAAGAAAAAAATATATAATTTTTATTATTTGATATAATATATAATAATCAACAGTTGGCCAATTGTCATTGTTGGTAACAGATCAAAGTATAGTAAAAGACATGTTAAGATATCCTTCTCCCAACAGTAAAATGAGATAATCAATAAGTTTGTTTCTATTATATTGATACATATATAGTTTAATGTCTCTATCACATAGTTTATATGGACGATTGTTCGAAGAACGTTGTCCTTCCTGGAATGGTTTCTGTTCGTGTTGTTGTGTATGTAGGTCCTTCCACCCAATTTGTTCGTACTGTTGGTGCATTACTAAAACCTCCAGTACTTCCTCGAACTTCAAATGGTTCATTAAAGCCTGTAGCACGATTTGAGCCAAATCCTGAACCACCTCGAGGAGGTTCCTAAATAACAACATTCAAACTGTTTCAATAGAGCCTTCTTTGATACCTGATTATATACATTGCCCCTTAAGTCATTCCCGCCCTGTTGTGGTCCTCCGTTGAACCCTGATGCACCACGAGGAGGTTCCTGAACATCAGAATTTAAAATGTCTAAGTAGACTCTTGTGCGGTACCTGATTATATGCATTATTCCTCAAGTCATTCCCTCCCTGTTGTGATCCTGCGTTGAATCCTGAACCACCACGAGGCGGCTCCTGAACATCAAGACTCAAACTCTTTCAATGAACTCTTACACGATACCTGATTATATACATTATTTCTTAAGTCGTTTTCAGCCTGTTGTGGTCCTCCGTTATAATAATTTAATTGAGTTGTTGGAGGTAAGGGCTCAAGCTTAGGCGGTAATGGACTATCGGAGAAGTCATCCTGCAATGCAAAGTGAGATGCAATTCTACTTCATCAATCTTACCAATGGTTGTTTCTCTTCCAAGCGCTGTAAGTAATCAGCTTGTTTCTTCTTACGAACGCTCCACAAGCAGCAGAAGATCATAACGAACAACATAACAATACCGAAGATGGAAAGAAGAGCTGTCATCCATTTCAAAGCATATTCAAGGTTACGATCTAGAATCAAAACATTATGGTTACAGCAGAAAACAAGTTCATACCTCGGCACCAGGCCCACCATCCTCTTGACCAAGTTCCATTTCGACAAGTTCTTTCGATATCTCCGTGAATGTAGTACTTAGGCTTACATGAGAATGTAACAGTATCTCCATCAAGGTAGTTAGCAGATATGGGAGTCTTAATGACTCCTTCCAGTTTCACTAGTGGACCACAAGATATAACTGAAATGGTTCTTTAAGCACTTTAGAGCAATATGTTCCATACGTTGTTTCGTTCCTGCCTTTTGCAAATTATAGAAGTTCTTCTGATTTCTGAGAGTGGTGATACCAACTTCTCGCCGTCCGGTAAGAATGTAATCGTACTCACACTGTGGAGTACCTTGGCATGTACTCACAACCTATTGAGATGTTCGTTTTTTCAGATATTCAGAAATGTTCGATACCTGATCCATTGTGAAAATTCTGGAAGCATTTAGGTCGAGATAGTCAGTAGGCCAGAAGACAGGTGTGTAATCCGAGGAAGCGAACAACAAGGGATTGTAAATAGGCTTGAAGCTATCAGAGAAAAGAACAGGTCCGATCTTATCATTTTTACCATCAACTCTCCCTAAAAATATCTTTTGAGCTTTCAAATAGTGTTTGACACTTACATGTGGTACCAAATTGGTCATAAATCATTTGTGTTGTACTGGCTGTATGAGTATCACCTTGAACGCGAATCACCTGTATACATTCCATTTATGATTATACTGACAGCTTTTGATAGTTTACCTGTCCACTAGGAGTTGTTAAGTCATCGTTTGGATCGTTGTTGTACGTTCCCATCAGACCCAAGGTTGTGTAGCAACGGCGAGTTGGGTCATCAGCTTGAGTGTTCAAAGCAGAATTCATAGATTGTCCAGGCTATAAAGCAACTTGTGAAAACTTATAGAAGAGATAAAACGTACTCGACAAGTTGTGTTATAGGTAGGAGGAAGAGTCACCATCACATCAAGCATTCCAAACGATTCCTGAACTCGTACTCCTAATCCAGATTTCAGCATAACAATGATTTCAGATTGATTCATGTTTTGGAGTGGATTACGAAGATCAACATCTATAGAAGAGAGGTGTAAGGAATAGAATCAGATGATGCAAAAATACTTCTGAACACTTGATGTTTCCAATGTGGTACATCGAAGAATCTGCGAGCACCATCAACGTAGACGTCAGTACGGTATCTCCATCTTCTCATTGACTTTCTGGCAAAGATCTGGACGAGAGAGCCGTCGCCTTCCTTGATAGCAACACCAGTGATCACAGTTGCGTTCACATGGGAATGCCCTATACGGAGATACATTGAGGTAAATAAAACAAAGAGTAACATACATAAAGTGTCATCAGGCTGCTCCAAACGAACTTGGATCATAAGCTTGTGACGTGGATCATCGCTCATCACGAGTACGAAGTATCCTTTTCCTGGGAAAGTATACTTGATACCATCGAATGTAACAACATGAGGTTCTCCGTAGATATAGCTGAAGCAGTTTGTTTGAATGACTAACAATCTGAAAAGGTTCCTACCCTGCAGCCGGTGCCTTATACTGTTGACATCCGTTAGTTTGTCGACGCCAGTAATAGAATTCGCAATGCTGAGCATAACTGAAACACATGATGTTAGTCTCCTATTCAGAGGTATATTCAAGAGTCAGCTTACTCGCAACATGTTCTATAAGGCAGAAGATCCAATTGATAGTTAGACATTGTAGGAATGAAAGGTGGCTGCTTGTATGGAGGTGCTCCAACTTTGTGAGCTCTTGCTGGAGTTCCAGGTTGGAAGAATCTGTAAACTGACTGATTACTCTACATCGACGGTGGGTCGGATTACCTTGTGTAATCACCATCAGGTTCCCAATCATCAGTGAACATGAGGTAACCATCATAATCATAACAGCACTGTTGAGCAGCTCCAATAGCACTTGTCTGTTGTGATTGAATACAATGTTGAGCTCCCTTATTGAAAGGACAAGAGGTATCTCCATCTTTGTCACAGTCCATGATTGGCATGAAACGACCCAAGTCAAGCATAGCCTAAAGGTCAGTATTGTCTATGTTTCATAGAGTTAATTATAACCTGAGAGAGCTTGCAGGGACATGGAAGATCTTTCGTCAAATCCATTTGGAAGTTTCTTCTTTTTCCATCGTACTCGAACCATTCGATGCACATATCAATGGCCCAGTTGTTACCATAATGACGTCTCCAATCGGGTAGGTAATACCAAGGGAATGGAGTTGGACGACTCCATAATACTCCTTCATCTTGATCAGTCAGAGCGACTTGAACAAATCCGAAGTGGAATTTCTTCCAAGCATTCTAAATATGAATTTATACAGAGCCGACAACGCCAATCTCACCTTCAACATGTTCTGTCTTTGCAGTTGGGGAGGCTTGAACGTGTAAGTTCCACTGTTAGAAATTCCTTTAGCTATTGAGTCAACTTTTACATAATGAGATCTGTCAAGACAATTCATGAATAGATATTTCCAGTTAGTCTCACCTATCAGCATCTTCCCAATACCCTATAAGGTTGATATCTATCCTTGCTCCAGTGTTCCATGTCAAGTTAAGTGCTTGCCAGCCCATTGTCAACTCATCAGCATACGGTAGATACCTGTAAATCTTTATTCATCTCACAAAACTTTAGAATCCAAACCATCGATTGTTAACATCGTCCACATCATTTTTCAAAGCAACAGTGGGTGGGAATCTATCAGGAACAACTGAAGAGGATATTGAAGGTAAGTTCATTTCTTGCATGCCTACCTATGTAGAACTTTCCAAAGAATGGGAAACTGTTTCCTCCATCACGACTCATACGTACTTGTACTAAACCCGTTTTGTGGAACATGGGCATCACACATCTAGCTCTCACTCTACTGATTCTCTTACAATCCACTTGCCAATTTTCAAAGTTAACCTAAGAAAATAGTCTTCAAAACCTCTGAAGTTGCCAAACGGACCTTTATGTTATCCTTCTCTCTAAGACAAGGGCCAGAGACATTAATGGCAACACCGCCCATCATAGGACCCCAGGGAGGGGCTGTTAGCATTCCACCTGGAAAGAACAGTTGTCACCCAGGTCGTACAAGCTTCATTACCGTTTGAAGCGTTCGTACATCCAGCAGGAATAATCAGCTCATCAACACGATGAACCCACCGTCCAGGTGTGAGTACGTTTGAGAAGTATCCTAATTTCCATGAACGACCTATAATAGACACAAATATATTTTGTTTAAAGACGCCGTGAGGATTACCATGTCCTGAGTAAGGAAGTTGATACCATCCGGTACCGTTACCACCATTGAAGCCCACAACAGCAGCTTGCTTTCCTCCGAACCCATTCAAACCTCCAGCTTCATTACTAGTAGTCCAATTCAAACGAGCGTAGTTGAAAATAGCAAAAGTTCTGAAAGCAATTAGAGTCGGTCAGTGAAACGTTCGCATTGCCTTACCTGATTTCGTCACTGGCAATGACCATTTGGAAAGTGTTCTGCCAATCCTTAACGTGCTCGAACTGTGAGACATCCAAGGCTCTTGGCGCTCCTCCATAAGCCATCTATAAGAATGATATCAAGAGTTGCATGCTTAACTTGGCAGCTTACCCTGTACCATGTTACAATGAAAGCATGTTCAGCTCTCCAACCATTAGCCCCAGTATATCCTTCCTATGATTACGAGATACAGAAAACTCATTGAGAAAGCTCTATACCTGGACATCTCGAGTGATGTTATCCAAAAGAAGAGGATCTATGACCATTCCGGGTTGAGAAACTCTTGTTGGCATTTGTCTCTTCTTACGGAATCCAGTGTTTGTTTGGAACTGTTTGAATCATCGTTACTACTTTTCTACTTGACCAAGGATTTACCATGTTCTGTTGTTGTTGTTGTTGGGTATAGAACTGGTTAGTGTTTGTCAAAGGATTGAGATTCTGAGAAACTCCTGTTTGTACATATGGTGATTGCCCGTTCTGATAATTGGGCGCTCCATAGTTTGTGTTTGAGGAAGCTCCGTAAACTTCATCGTCATCAAGCTGAAACAGGTGTTATCAATCATCCTCATTAAGGTCAGCCTGCAGTTGCCCTGCGAGGACAATTGTTTGTTAAAAGAAAACTTTATGTTTGAGCTTGATCATACAGGTTTATACACACACTCATATAAAGATAAAGAAGTTGGAATGATAAGCTTAATGCTTTCGGCAGCTGGCTGCTCAATATGCTTCCTCAGGTCGCCATTTTGATAAGCATATTTGATTGAATGAGAGACAGATGGAATGTGGGAGAATGCGCGACCCACAATTGTTTCGAAGTTGCGAAAGAGAAACAATGGCTTCTAAGCTTTCTTTCCCCATTTTATAGTTAATGAACTTACACGAGGACGATGAACACTTCGGTAGAACACATTACTGATCTTAGTATTTCCAATCCATTGGAACATGGCATCAGCATAGTAAGGAGCAATGAAACTGTGATCCTAAAGGAACACATCATTCAAATTCACTCTGATCACTTTCTAACCCTTTGCTTTGGCCAAGCAGGATTGGGGAATGTCCATGGAGGTGCTGTATATGGTGGCTGTCCAAATGAAACCATTCCCATTGGATATACAAATGTATAATTGAACCTTGAAATAATTAGCATATTCCTTCATTTCACGTATGTTCCACGTAACCCAAATCGGCTTAACGCGTGAAATTTATTTAAGCTTTGAAAAGCGTGGTGAGCGGTTGTGATAAAATATTTTTTTTCAATCTTCTTATCAGTTTTTTATAGATGATTCAAGCTTGGGTACTTTTCACATGATTAATTATAAATAATTCAATAATTACATACCGATAACCAAAGAAGGGGCAATCGAATCCAAGGTTTGCTTGAGTTTCACGACCAGCTTGACCCATAAGCTGATCATCGCGAGCCCATTCTCCAAAAGGATACATAATGTTCACCCAACCTTAACAAGCATTCTCATCAATGAATCATTTAAGATAATTACCTTCTTCAATACGCACATCATAATCGGCTCTTCCGAGATTATCCAAATACGTCTGATACGATTGTCGAGATAGCTGACGTTTCTTTCTAAGATAGGCTTATGTACTAGGATAATGGAATTAAGAGTACAACCTTATATGTTCAGGAAACTTATGATCGTCGCTTTCTGACTGACTGAGAAGTTTGTCGAGTTCCTTCTTACTAGGTAATCGACTCTTTGGAGGATTCTCATTACATAACTTATCTGCTTCCTCTTGATGAAGCTTGAATGAGAAGATGAATGAGTTGAAGCTGATGAATGAATTCAAAGTTACCTTCTCTTCATAACTTTTAGGTAATTCGGGTAAATGTACTGTTGAGTGTAATGATACATTATCAGAAGCTTTTGTTACAATTAAACAATATGATAAACATAGTAGAGAGGCGCAAGCCAATAGCCTGCGCCACATTGCTTTCACTCTTGAGACCTTCCCGTTAGGATTTCACAATATGAAGTGAAAAAGTAAAAAGCGAAGAAGAGTTGAATGAAACTGAAAAATGATTTGATGAGTAGAGGAAGAAGAAGCTTAGTGCTAGAGAAAGGTTATGAGGTCAATCTTTATCAGATGCAATAATCTGAAAAAGAAACAAAGCAGGTGCCAACGTTTCAATTTTGAAACCCGAAATGGTAATTGAAAGTAAAAAAGAAAAAAGGTTGTTAGCTAGTAGTCAAATGCTTTCATATGATTATATGCTCAGGTTTATAATGAAATTAAAGGACATTGCAAAGAGAAGGAGAAGTAGAAGGAGAAACATTTAATAATCGTAAGTGATAAGCAGTGGAAGCCAAATGTAGATGAGGCGGCTGTTATCATTCAGAGTTAGAAAGAACCTATTGCTTTGACCGTAAAAAGATGAGCAAATCATGTGGACCAATGCTTTCTCTCTTCTTTGCCGAATAACTACAGAAAAGGGCATGAGAAAGTATATTAATCAATCGGACTTCTATCGATAGTTCACTGCCCAAGTCGCGCGAGAGTTCAGTTCTGGACTCAGCTTCTCCTCCTCCGTTCCCTCTCTTACCGTTTATTGCATCTTTAAATGGCAGTGTTAATATCTTTTCTTTGAGTGTGACAAAGTTGAATTTTATGACAAGGCGATGCTTTCTGTTTTGGGCAGGAAAATAGGGTTCAAACTGTCGTCTAATCTTTAATAACCCCGTTAGTTTGTGCTTTTAACCACAATTGTATACTTTAATCTTCTTGCCCGTTCAATTCTGAGTTGAAAGATAGTACGCACGTCTTTCTAGCTTATTTTTTAGTAAAAAACTCATTTTTCCAAATTTTCGTAACTTTACATTTGCATAGCGCAGTGCTATCAAAACAGCTACGGATCTGATTAGGAGCTTGAGCTACCAGGTACGATCCCCGATGCCGCTTAAGTCATTTTTGTTTTTATTTTTTTTGCAATTTTCATTTGTACTCTGGAATGTTCCGGAAGTTGTTATTGATCATTTGTATGATTGCTATTCTCGAAATGTCACGTATTTATGAATTTGAAGGAAATATGTGGGAGCACTTGAAATGACTGTTTGTACTGTTGTCACTGTGATTACTTCAATCAATAAACTGTTTTGATATTCTTTCAGAATTTCATTTTACTAAAAGAAACGAAAAACTTGAATAAACTGTGAAGAGAAATGATCGTAAGCTGGCTTTTAAGACAAAAGCGTGATGTGATTTTTCCAATCAATTGTTGTCATCAATGAACTTTCCTCGTTCGGCCGTATTCCCGGTTTTCCTTCTCGTCTTGTTTCTTTGGTATCGTGTGTGTGTATATGCGTGTGTATCATAGCCAGCATTCATTAAGCCATGTCAAGCATTTTAATAAAACTTCTATTATTGTTAATTAATCTGATTATCTGTCAATCACAGGATTTCAAAGGTATCGTCACATTGAGTATGCTTATCTCCTTACCCATGTACGCTGTTTAAGATGTCAAACTGCCTAACTTGCCCAGTCTAACTGAATATGATGATTATGATGAAAGTTTGCCATTTGAAAAAGATATTTTGGTTATACCCAATCGTTTTCCAAAAGATTTAAACTTTTTCTGCTATCCAAGGTTTTATTGTTTATATAAGATGTAATTAGATGAGATCCAAAGGTTATAGAACAGATTTGATTCGAGATCGTATGTGTTATGGACAATTGGATGCCTTCTCTCTTCTTTGTGCTGATGATACACCACCCATACATATAGTTCCTTTCTGTATTGCATTTAAGGTTTGAAATACTTTTTGATTCTTCAATACCACACACACACACATACACACTCACACACTCACTCACATACACCCTTTCTATTTCATTGGACAAAAGATTTGTTATTGATGTACAGAAATGTCTTTTTCGTTTAAAAAGGCAGAGAGAGAGACGATAGACTGAAGAAGTTGTAAAGAGAGGATGGATGTGAGAGGGTTTTGGACAGAAGGAGTACAGACTGATGTTTAAATACGAAATATTCGGAGCGATCGTTGGCTGATAAACGTAGGAACAGTATTGGAATGAAATTGAATATATGAGGATGAATACCACTTTTTCGTTTCTAAAGATACTCTTAACAACTCAAAATGTATTATATTATACATTTTTATGTAAAAATATGATAGGTTAGAAGAGAGGGGTGAGAGAGAAATGATCGAGAGAGAGAGAGAGTGAGAGAAAAGACAACCGGTCATTGTGCGTTTGCATTTAAAAATATAGTTCACGTGAGATGTACGTGGAAGCTAATTAGCATATTTGCAGCATTCATGTTCAAAATTGAATTATCCATCTGAGAATTATTGTTCAAGAGAGAAAAAGCAATATCGTCGCTATTGTAAGAGCATGAGATTACGAAATTGTGAAAATGCTTACTATGACACAAGTTGTAGTTGTGAGCCATATGAGAATCATTGGAGAAGGTATGCAATCATTACGCATAGAAGTAGGATTGAATGGAAAAGTTGAATAATGGAATAGTTAAGATATGGATTCGATACAGCTGTTTGGTGTCAGAAGTATGAATTGTACTGTGATGAAGATAAGCGACGTGAGAAAGCAACAGAGATAGTTCCAATACTGAAGGATGCTGTACGTGTTCATTACAGGTGGTGTAGAGTAGTTGAAGGGGATATTGAAGTGAGTAAGCATCATTCAGATGTTTCCACATGTTTAACTTGGTTCAAGTAATCTGCAATCCATTCCGAAAACAATTTGATTGGGATAGATGCATGAAGGTAAGCCTGCTGCTGCTGATGTTGCTGCAGATGCTGCAGATGCTGCAGATGAAGAGGGAGCAATGCGAACTGTTTTTTTTAGTTTGTTTTGGATTGTGAACTAATCAGTGATTTCGAAGAAGACGATAAAGACGAGTCGGGTGAAATTTCTTCAAACAAGATGTCAACGTCGACGGAGATTGTTGTTGAAAGTAAGAATTTTGCTCCTTTGTTTAAACTAATTGGTTTTACCACGATAAGTGTTGTAAATATATGAGAAAAGATGAAATATTTAAAGAAAAAAAAATGTTTCAGCCAACAGTGGAGCAAATAAATCCTCCGACGGTAAGGAAGGATTCATTGGAACAGCTGAAGAGGAAAAATCTGCCAAAAAAATAGCTGAAGAAGAAAAACTGCTTGAAGAACTTATCAAAGAGAGTGAAAGAGAGGAAATGCACAATGTATGCTATATCCGTTTACATTTCAATTTCAACATCCCGTCATAGACTACTACGACTACAACTACGATGACGACTCCTAGTGCAACAAGCATGAGTAATGCCACTAACGTCTTTCAACCCATGATGGAACTTGACCTGAAAGCTTTCGAAACAAATGACACTCTCTTGGCACTATTAGATTCCGACAAAAGTCTTTACGAATATCTCACTTCCGAAACCTTTTTTGCGTTTTTGCAGATATTGACAAGTCGACGTCCAATCTTGAAAAATCTGAAAATGTCATCAAATCCTCTGATGTAGTAATAGCAGATGATCCAAAGCAAACACCGACAAGCTCGTCTTCATTCCAAGTACCAAAAGCTCATGCGGTACGCCCACTTCGATTTTCATGAAACTCGAACACTTTTTAACTTACATTTATTCTCTCATCCATTTCTGAACTTTAGGCAGCCCCACAACCACCGTCCGCCTCCATAGCATCATCGCGATCCATCCTTCGGAAACGACTGGCGATGACCTCTTCCGTCCTCCGTCCGACTGTCGGAACATCGTCAAACGTCGGAAAAGCGTTAACTTAAAGCAACGATTTCTACACCCTATCTCTCACCTCTGTCTCATTGTCTATCTTTAATTTTTTATGAACAAAAAAAGATTTTTCAAAAACTTCTCTTCTTCGTATTCATGGTGAGGGTGGTTGTTGTAACAGATGTGGCAGTCAGTATGAATGGTACTCTCGTTCAACTCCCGCTTGTATATATTTCTGTATTGATTTCTGAACTGTTAACTATTCCTTATTTGTCTGACTACTGTCATCCATCTCATATGATGTACTCAACTGATTTATAAACAACGTAATTTGAATTTGGCGCCAACCGGTAAACAGCTCGAGTGCCCATTCACATTTGCCGGAATTTATGATAATGCGGTGTTCATGATGATGATGATCTGATTGTCTTTCGTAAATGTTTTATATTGTGTTCTATTTCGAAATCGGAATATTTCAAATAGCTTATTAGCTGATACAGAAATCTGTTCTGAGATAGCCAGAATGGTCAATTGCCATCTGACACTTTCCTATTCATATTGTTGTTTATTACGAAAACAATGGCAGCTCTGCCTGATTTCGTCATATTTGTCTTGTTGTGTCTCTCTCTCTTCTCATTGGACATCATGCTGGCTTCCTCAAGCCTGTCCATCCGTTCTACACATGTCTCTGTCTGCTGCTGAGGTTCAGTTTTTGTGAAATGGAATGTGTACAAGGCGATATAATCATCAGCTACTTTCGTACTCTTCGGCGAATCTTTATGAATCTTCTTCTATTGTTATCTGGTCGTTTGTCAAATAAGGTTGTGCTCTTTAACTTTCAAAATCATTTGCATATCTGCCGCAACTCTTGAGAATGTCTTGTACTGTTTGCTTGGGGCTGGCTTAAGTATGTTGTACGACGCAGAGATTATTACCGGAAGTACATGGTTTCTCGTGCTTTAATCATTATTATTATTAATGGGAACAAAGGACATGTCCAATGTTTCCATCTTTTGTGTGAAGCTTTTATCATCCAGAGAGAGAAAGAGCTCTCTCTCTCTCTCTGAACTTGGTTTTGTTTAAAAAGGCAAATGCATCTGTGTCTGTCTGTGTTATCATGGTTTAAATCTCTCTTGACACCACTAGCCATCCATTTGTCTTTATCTAAGAACCTTGATCGTCTTATATACTTTTTGTATGAAAATCTTCTTCTAAATTAGGAACAGTTACTGATTTTCTCACATTTGCCGACAACTTCGTCACGTCTCTTCTTTCGTTCTTTAATTCATTAAATTTCAGAGAGTCAAGTATTTAACTTAACAAAGAAAAAATGTCAAATAGCGCAGAACAGCGTTTAGCACAACGTGTTCTTGAGGTTTTCTTTCGTTTTTCTTAACTTTTGTTTACTTTTCTGCTTCTTCAGCAACTCCGTAGAGATCCCGGAAATCAAATGAGTTCAGGAGATCTATATGCAGCTCTTGGAGGTCAGAAGGTCTTGAGATACACTGAGAACGAGTTCAGGTAGCTAACATCTCTTCCACAACGCATCTCTAATCTATCTTTGTTCACAGAGCATTCCTCAGAACCCATTGCTCTTTCGCTGAAGAACAAGAAAGTGGAGGAGACGAAAATAAATCGCCCAAGTTCGTTTTCTCATTGAAACTTGCAAACTTCCTATTTGCAGATATGCTTTACATGACACTTTACGACGAAAACGTACCAAAATTATTAGCAAAGGACAACCTATTAATACTCACACCCCCGCAGGAAGTTCTTTCGACGTCAAAACTGTTAGGAAAATGTCTTTTAACGAGTTCATTTCTTGTTTGTAGGATGGTTACAAATCTCTTCTACATGCAGCTAAGAAGCTTGCCGACTATTCCGGAGAAGGAACTGTTGTATGGAATGAGCTTAGAAAATACTACAGGTGAAAACTGTTAACGTCTTTCTCGAATACTGAAGGAGTTTCAGAAAAGACACTGGACGACATCTTAATGTTGAAGAGCTTAACTTGATGATTGGAACTTCTAACATGACCAAGTTTGTCCATTCTTCTGTTATCTCACATAGCTCTTCTTATCAGATGCCAAATTCTTTCAACTATGTTCAACGGCATTTTCGAGCCATTGGACAGCAAAGCTCTTACCATTAAAATGGACACTTCTAAACCATACTCTGAGCTTTTGAAAATGAGAAACTCATCCAAATCTTCAAACACTTCCAGCTCATCTTCATGTGCTCATAAGAAGTGTGAATCATTGGTTTGTTATTCTCCTTGAACTCGGGGTATTTCATATCTGGTTACAGAGAGCTTCTGCTGGAGATACTTTTGTCCCCATGAAATCTGTGAAGACTGAATCAGCTAGCTCTGAAGGTAACTACGACAGTGCTCGCAAGAGCACAACAGTAGACACTGTCTCTGTTCCAGCCACATCCGTCAGCGTTAAGAGAGAGCCTGAAGTTGTAAGTTGTTTTTTATTTTTCCATCATCATTGTATACATTAAGGGAGATGACGAAGTCTTCGCCACGGAAGAGATGAACATCCTGAATACTCAAACGGTAAGATTTGTTTGACTCAGCTCTCTCCTTTATTGATCATCTTAGCATTTCGAAAATGATGAAGAAACTGTTCACAAGTTTGCTGAAAGTTTGATTCAACACAGAAATTCTCTTCCTGATGAGTTCGGGGATGAAGTGAGTTCACTGACGAGTAGAATCACACATATCTTTCTTTAGATTTATGGAACTAAGATTTCCGGAGAAAACTTACTGAAAGTTGAGGAGATTGAGCCCGATTTGTCTGCTGTCAAATCTGAGCTTGAGTTGACTGGATTGACCAATGAGCAGGTCAGCAACTATTTTCTGGCCGTCTCGTAACTAAGTGATTTCAGTCTTCTAGTAGCAATGGAATGAACGCTGCATTCCTTGCTGATGATTCTATCCGTACTTCTTTCTGTACTCCTATGGATGGTTCTTTCGAAACCAGTGGGGAACGTGGTTATCTCAGCTGTTCAGAACAGGTTGGTTTGAGCTAGGTAAAAATCATTTTGTGCTTCTTCTAGCTCAGTGACGCTGCTGCCGATGTATCTTTGAATATTTCTACTACTGAAAGTGTTGATCCTCCCACTCCTCGCAGAACCCACGAAATCACTCTCTGCTCAAGTCGTAATGGGATCGCAACTGTTTTGGTAAAGCTTCTATTTGTGTTTTGTGGTACATTCATTCTTTCAGCCTCAGCCTGATATCAGTCCTCTGTGCTCTGCCAACCACCTCTTGGATTCTCCCTCTATGTTCGCAGAGGTACTGATCTTACATCTTTGTCAATATTCATTTCCAATTTTGCAGAATGAACATTCCAACTCAGTCACACCAGAATCAGCTGTCGAAGAGCCTGTTCCTTTGCCAAGAAAGATCGTCTCAGCTCCATTGGATTCTTCCAATGAGTCCATTGAGGCTGAAGTCGTAAAGAAAGAGATTCTCGACGACATTGTTGATTCAAAAGATATTCAGCAAGAGGTACAATCTGAAAGTTTTGTCGAAGACCCCGCTCCAACTGAGAGATCTACCATCGAAAAAACTGAGGAAGTTTCAACTCAAATCTGCGAACCTGTTCTCGTTGATTCTGAGAAGGTAACACAGAACTTCGCTGTCGCTGCCAGCGAGATCTCTGACCCTGTAGTTGTTGAGTCTTCCGTTGTATCTGAACGACTTGTCGAAAGCGTTGCTGAACTTGAGCCAGCTGTTGAAGAACCAGTTGATGTTTCCGTTAAAATCGAGGAAGAAGTTACTGAACCCAAAGTCGATATCGTCGAGAAACTTCAAGATTCTCTTCCTGAATCGGAAGATGTTCCTGCCGAAGCTGTAGTGGCCGAGGTTGTCCAGGTTCCCGAGCCTGTTGTACCTGAAGCAGTAGAAGTTGTTGACCCAGTCATCATCGCAGCTTCACCAGCTAAGCCTGCCAGAAGTATTCCTTCCATCACAATCCAACTAGAAGAGGAAACTGAAAAACTTCTTCTTCAAACTAAGGAGATGAACGCTATCACTAGCGACATTGCATTTGGTCAAACTGAAGAAGAAGCATCTCAGGAAGTCGAAGAGAAATCTGTTGAAGTTGTCTTCGAGAAATCCGAAGAGAATGATGTTGCTGTTCAATCTGAAGCAGTTACCGAGGAGCTCGATGACAACATCCCATCTTCAACCAGTAATAAGGCTGAAGAAGCTCAAAAGCCAGAACAAGACGTCCACAGCGAAACTTTCGTTGAAGAAATTTCTATTTTGATCGACCAAAATCCTAAAGACATTGAAGCTAGCTGCACTTTCATTGAGGATGAACCTATTTCTGAGACATCTGTTTCGCCTGCCGACGTGGATGGAGTTTTTGAGAATCCTGAAGCCCTACAAGAATCGGACGACGATATGTCTTTGTTGACTCAGAAGTCGGAAAGTACTATCACTGTCATTCAACAGCCACTGACCTCCAATAACACACAAGTTGGACCAGAACAGGAAGGATCTGTACGTTTTAACTTTCTTTTCGTACTTTGATCTTTATTTTTAGGATTCTGATAGCATTCCATATGATAACGATGAGAGCAGCAACTCATCTTCTCCTGCCAAGACCGTCACCGTTGAAGTTGAATTGAACTCCTCATCTGCTGCTCAAGTTTCTAATACTTGCTTTCGGTCCTTACAGCTGCGTATTCAGATTCCGTCCTCCAGCGTGATCTCTGAAGAAGACGTTCAGAAGTCTGCTGAGGTTGCCCTCAAGAGAGAAATTCCTGAGTGTATTCCTGAAGACGAAATGAAGTCTCCCATCGACGACGAGCCATCCAGAGATCCTTCAATAGTATCGGAACAAGTTGCTACCACAACTGAGGTTTGATATCATACATTGCAATACTAGTTATCCATTATAGGACCAAGACACTAACCCAGATAATATACAATGCCTGTCTCCTGAAGCCGAAATGCCAGAGGAAGGAGTCCTTGTGCAGAAGCCTGATGTAAATGAGGTTAGTGTTTGTTTTAAAGTAACCAGTACATCTCCTACTCTTCAGAAGGACTCTCGACGAAAGAACAAGAAGAGAGCCCGAATGGTTGCACCTAGACGTCGTATTTTCAATTGCTGCACAGTTCTATAAGAATTTGGAAAAATGCCTTTTCTACAAGCTTTAACACCCAAACAATGCTCATCGAGGCTTTTCAATGCGCTAGTCGTTTATAAGATTATTCTTCTGTGCAATTTCTTTTTGAATTTTTTTTGTGACAAAACACCCCCTCACCTTATTCACATGTTTGCCGTTTACTTATATTTATCATTTTTTTCATTAATATAACCTTTATTTCTTGATGTTTCTGACAAAATAAAGCTTACAACAACTACTCGGTGTATCTCGTTCTACTCTGATCGTCTTCAATGAATCTTCTGGGAAGGATGTTCATACTTCTCGCTCCGTTGGGTTTTCTTCTCGACAATCCAAGGAGTTACTACATGTTACTGCAGAACCAATGTGCATGTGAAGCTATCAAGGAACATCAGTGTGATCTAGCACACCTGTACTGAGTAGTGTCTTGGTCTCCAAGAATGTCTATTCTCTAAATGATTAAGGTCTTTCACTAATGTAGTAAAACTATGCTGAAGCTCGAGCTGGCAACTAGCCTGACAGATTGATAAATAATAAGAACATTAAGGTTTCCAAATGCATTCCGAGAAGCTGACAGCATTCTTATGATCAGCCTTCCCACATGATCACAAACAATCTTGTGAGTGAGCTATAGTTGACCCAATGACAATTGATCTCATTCACCTGCGCTCTAATCATAACTGATATACGTGATCTCCCGTAGGTTACAGTAATTGCACACAGCTTTTCGGTCACGCCCACATGTTTTCGAAATTAATTTGATTATGCTAATTT